TAGTCTAATTTGTTTCTATAAAAGTATGACACAGAGTAAGAAGTATCAGTAACAAATAGCATCAATTTATAACAAAGACATCAATTCATCAGGAGGATATGGCAATTTTATATTTACACAACTAATGACAAAATTTCACAATGCATCAAAAAAGATAGATCTATATGTAGAAAAAAACATTTATGTTGGGAAATCTCAACGGCTTTCTGTTGATAACTGATAAATCAAGAAAACAGTAAAGATACAGAAAGCAACAGTAGATCATCAATCAAATGGATCTAATAGAATATCACAATCATATTTGTTTTGGAATATTCAGCAAGAAAGTTCATGATCTTGGCCGTAAACAAGGTGTGATAGATTTAAAATGATAGAAATTATGCAAAATATGCTCTCTAACCACAAAAGTATTGAGTTATAAAGTTATATCCTCCTGATGAATTTAAGCCTCTGACCACAAGGAATCTAGGGAATTCTAAGAAAGAAAAAAGCAAAGGAAATAAAATAAACACATATTCACCTAAACACTTCATATTCCACTCATTCCAAATTATAAATTAATAATAGGCAGATAATTGAAATATCCCAAATGTCTTGCAGAAGTGTTTTATGGAGGCCTTTGTGCAAACCTTTGGTCTTGGCAGTGTTTTGTGATAGTTGTTTTCAGGCTGAGCACATTAGGTCCCTTCCTTAACCTTTCGGTTATATTTTATTTTATTGGGGCTTGACACAAATGACTCCATTTTGATTCAGAATACTTTCACCCTGGTGAAATGTCTAAATTCAGAAGCAAACTGAAAGAGTATCTCCCCAAAGTGGGAGCTAGACTTCTATGAGGGCAAATGGCTGACACACAATAAGTTAAAGGGAAAGTGGCCCAGGTGATGTAGTAATAATAACCATTCAATGATGTGTTTTAGCTTCTGACCTGGTATCTTTAAACACAGTTTTGAATATATTTACTATGTGTTGCTGGGGCAACCTAGAAAAAAGACACTGGCATGAACCTCAGGCATGGTATGCATATTAAGCAAGTCTAGAGTTGGTGTAGAGTGGTGATAGAGAATTAACGTGCTCTGCAATTGTACAGCACCCCTCCCCCATGTAAGTAGCAACTTCTAGCTAGGAGAAAGCTAGATAAAGAGAGAGATTTGGGATAGAAGAGACGCTGACACAATTCTCCTTAGAATAAACCCTGAGAGAACGGATACAAACGGGTGCCTTAAAAGTGACGCCACACCATCTGGGATAAGAAGACCTTTTGGAGTCATTGTCTCCACACATTATTAACTCCAACATCTTCCTTGGAGTTAATTAAGTAATAATTTTGAGAAAATTTTTTTTTGTGTGAAGCAATGAATTATGAAATACAACGCATGATTTGTAGCAATATTTGAAGTAGAGACCTCAAAGGATCTTGCTTCCAGCGTTCAGGGGCTCATCCTGCTTCTGTCCTTTAGAAAGAACAGGTAGAAAGCTTCAGGGAACACTTGTGTAAGGACAGTAATAAGCCCTCACCATTCACAATACTCCCTTTCACAGAGAGTAGCAAATGACTGGGATTTTCTAGGTATTTACTTCTGAATTTCAGCCTGCAAGTGTGTTAGGTGAAGCAGTCTATCTGGCAGTGTTGAACCGTAGTGTGTATACATTGTCGTAACAGCTTGATGTAAAGCTTTCTTTCCAGCAAGAGGGAGAGGGAGAGGGGACTTCTCTTTGTCATTCATCTTATGTTGTGGCCAAACTGTTCGATAACCCCATCCACAGAGCCTTGGAAGCTCCCAGGACTGCCATCTCTGCAGGTCCAAATGTAGTCAGCCCATGACACTCCTGTGCAAAAGCCATCTTCTTTATGTTCCCATCAACAGTGCAAAAGAATTCCCAATACAATCACTGTGGAAATCAGTATGGAGATTCCTCAAAAACCTAAAATTAGACATCCCATTCAACCTAGCTCTTCCCCTTCTAGATATCTTCCCCAAAGAGTTAAAGGCAGCATATTACAATGATGCATGCATATGCAAGGTTACAGCAGCACAATTCATAACAGCTGAATCCTGGAAGTGACCTATTCTTAGGGCGCTGTCCCAGGCTAAGCTTTCCAAGGAAGCCCGCTTTGGAGGAAGATAAATGTGCAGGAAGTTTATTAGGGGTATTCTTTGGGATTAAGGACAATGAAAAGAAGAAAGGAAGTGGGTTGAGCAAGGGGGAAGCTGGGCTGTGATATAGTGTCAGTGAAAACTTCAAGTGACCCCCAGGGGAGCTCTCAAGTGATCCCAACTCTTCAGAGTTGTCCCACCTTGCGGTGAGTGAGTATGTGGGGCCTTTGCCCCTCTTTATAGAGCAGTTACTGTCTTTTGGCTGCCTGGAATAAGGTGAACAGATTTAGCAAATAAAAACATGTGACTCCCACTTAAATTTGGATCTCAGATCAACGTTACACTTTTATAGTGTAAGTGTGCTTCATACAATATTTGGGACATACTCATACTAGAAATAGTTCGTTGTTGATCTGAAATTCAAATGTAATGGTGTCCTATATTTTATCTGTAATCCTACCCTGGAAGGAGCATGGACTTAGGCCAGGAGCTCTCCTCAGCAGAGGCGAATTCTAGAGGCTGGTGGAGAGCTGTGTACAGGTAGCACTCCCAGCAGTAGGGTGCATAAGACCTTCAGTCCCAAAGAGAGGATCTGTACTATGTACCCCAGAATCCACTTCCCACTTTGCATTACCATTAGTTGTCAGTGTGAGAGTCTGAGTAGTGTGAAAGGGCACAAATACTGTTATTTGGTGGAAATAAAACAAGGTTTTGTAATTCCTCTCTCTCATAAAGAAGAAAATGATGTCTACCAAGTCCCCATGATGAATGTAACTACTATGTATTGCAGACATATACTGACAATTAAAAATTTTTTTAGAAGGAAACCATACCACTTTGAGGTGAACTACATAAATGACTTTCCCCATTCCCAAAGGTGGGGTGGAGGATATTATCCTATATGCCAGATACATATGATTTTATTGTCAGCAACCAGGACTGACTTGAACTGACAACTGGTTCTGTTGCACAATAGTTTTGCAAAGAATAGCTAACAGAACAGTTATTATAGAAAAACCCCTTCTTACAACTGTAAATGTTTCTGGACATCTAAACCCCTTATGGAAAACATAACTATCCAACAAGTTAACATATTTGCTTATCCAAAAGTATGCTTTGCAGCTAGAATATACTAAAGGATTACATTACTTTATGGGAGTCTTACTAAGGTATTTTATGGCACAGATGAACATTTGGATATCTTGCTGTAATTTTTTCCTAGGCTAAGAATTTTACAGCTAGTAAGATAAAACTATAGCAGAAATGCTTGGGGCTGTGGTCATTAAATTGTCTTTATGTTAATGTGGACACTGCTCTTTTTCTGAGAAAAATCTTGGCACTGGCTAAGGGTTTCCCCTTCGTCTGTCTTTGCTGGGAGGTGACAAATCTTATTTTCATTTTTAGGCTCCATGTTCTCATTTCTTACCCAGCTGAGCTGAACAGATCATATAGTTGTGCACTTCACAGAAACATGGTAAGTCCATTCTGTTTTCAGGGAATAATGTAACCCCAATCTGTAGCTCCATCATAATGATTAAATATATGGTTATGAAGGATTGTTCAAAATGTGCAGCTTATTGATTCTCTTAGACATCATGAAGTCACATCTTGACTGCTGAAAGCCACATTCTTGTACCACATTGTTTTGATTTTCACAGACTTGGTTTGATAAATTATGTTTGAATTTTATTCTCTGTTAGCCTTGAAGATTATACAAAAGAGCTCTGTGAATCCTGCCAATAGTAATGTCTATAAACAATAACACTGATGATCATTTATTCATTCAGCAAATATATATTTGATAACTTTCATGTGCCAGATATTTTCTCCTAAGCAAAAGAGACAAAAACCTCTGTCTTCACTGGATTTATATATAAGCTAACATAAGGAAGACAGGTTAAAAAAAGAGAAAATGTGCATTAATGATAAGGGAAAAAAATGAAAGGAAGGGGGATGGCATGTTGGGATTTCAAATAGGCTGAGCAGTGAGTGTAATTCCAGTGATAGATACATGACGTGTGTTTTACTCTGTAGTTTACATAAGGATTTTTTCACTATTTAATCCTGTGAGGATGTTCATTATATTACAAGCTGTCCTCTTTCTGAGGACCCATGGGAAAACTTTCCCTTTGATATCAGCGCTGGCAGCAGTTGGCTTCTCTTGAGTAACTGGTTTCTTTTTATCTTCCATGCACTAAGTATCACTTAACAGATCATGGTTACCACTTTGTTACGCTTATGAATAAACCTAAAACTTTGGTATGGACCAGGAGTATTGACCTCAGTTGTGACTTCCCTTACCCTTTCTACCTTATTTCAGCTTTTGTCCCAATTGACTCACCTGCTTATTTTATATTTTATTTTATGTTATTTGCATTTACCTTGGTATACCTCCTTACATTTTTTTGAGTAAGATAAGGCATAAATACAAATAAATGCCCTTCTACTTAACATGCATACATACATTCATACAATCTGTGTACATAAGTAAGGAGATCATCATGTGAGGTATAGTGTATACTCCTTATTTTGTTGTCCCTTGGACCAGGAGTTTTTATCTGAAAAAGATTTTCGTGGTTCATGGAACTGTCCTTATGTAGGTACTCAATAAATATTTATGGAATAACAACTTTGGTTGCAGCTGTTATTTATTTATTTATTTATTTATTTTCATTAAGTTTATTGGTACATTTTAGGTATACAATACAGTTACATTCATAATTGGGATCTTGTACCTTTACATGATGTTTCTTTGTTCTTATTTTTCCCCCATTCCCCTGCCCTCCCTTCACCCCCTCCACCCTTTCCTGTTTACAAAGACTGTGAAGCTGTAATTTAAATGAGAAAGATATTCAGGAATATCATAGGAGTTTTTTCATTTGCGTATCAAACAAATGAAATTTTGCTGAAGTTTAGTTTTTAAACTAATGATATTTGAAATGTCATAAACCTTTAAAGACATGAGGCAAATCTGATATGATTGCTATGTAATGATGACTTTTTAAAACCCCATTCTAAATGTATAAAGAAGTAGGGGAAGTGAGAGTGGTAGGGGAAAGGAAAGAAGGGAAAAGAAAAAATATGAGGAAAGGAAAAACATGGAAACAAAGTCTTTGTTAATATATTTAAAATTTTGCTAGCAATTATTCCTAGAAGGAAAGTTACTAGATATAAGGATATATCATCACTAAAACTTATGAGATATAAATTGTTTTTCAGAAAGATTGATCCAGATATACTGGCACTGACAGTATGTGTTCTATGTCCTTCTTGGCAGTATTGAGTAATACCATTAAAAACAGCAATAAAGAAAACAAAATTGTTTCTTATTTGATAGGTGAAAGATGGTGCCATTTTGACTTTCATCTGCATTTCTTTGATTACTAATGAGGTTTACTTTAAAAATTTTTTTTACAGTTAAAGACACATTGCCATTGGTGCCCCTCAAAATACTCCCACTAATGAGGTTTACTTTGAAATCTATAATTTCAGGATTTTGCCTTTTCTCTTTAATGAGTAATGATGTGCTTGCTTCGCTAATATGTCGACTTTTACATTTTTATGCTCTTTTTATGCAACAAAGTTTTGCAGTAAAGTTTAGCTCTTCTTCATACATATTTGACATTTTAAAAAAGTTTATTTCTTGGTATTTCATCTTTTTGTCACTAATGCAAAGGGAATTTTTCTTTCATTATATTTTCTAACTGCTTATTACTGTCATACATAAAGGTGATAGATTTTTATATATTTGTGTTCAGACTGATTTTCAATGGATTCTCTTGGAAAATTTAGGCATATTCTCATTTCTCATTTGCCAAAAAGGATTCCTTTTCTCTAAGATTTATGCTTCCTATTTCAGTTCAGTGCCTTCTACTGTTTAAAGCTTCCAGAATAATGTCAAATAATGGTGATGATTGTGGTTATCATATACATTTCTTTTATTTTAATGGAGATATCTGTAATATTTCATTGTTAAGTGTAATACCTTTAGGCTTAAGAGAGATCATTAGGGATGAGCTGGGAATTTTATCAAATGCTTATTCTGCATATGTTATCATGATCTTACAGTTTATTTTTTACTGGATTATTGCTTTGATACTTTTTAAAAATCTAACATTGAACTTGTTTTTGTATTTGGAGATAATTTATTTGATCATGATTGACAATTCATTGAAATTAAACTAAACTGAATTTCCTAGCATTTTATCGAGAATTAGTATTGATACTAAAAACGTAAGAATGGTGTGTAGTTTCTTTTTTAAACTTTTTTGATCTGATTTTGGGGTCAGGATTGGTTATGCTAGATTCATAAAATGAATTGGGTCACTTTTAATCTTTTTCTATGTTCTGAAAAAAATGTAGCCTGGGGATTATCTGTTCCTTCAAGCATTTAGATATATAGTTATTAAATATTTTACCTGAGACCTGTTGCAGAAGATGATTATTTGATAACTCTCAATTTCTTCTGTGGTTATTGGCCACTTCAGGCTAATAATTCTAGAATCACTTTTGAAAGATTACATTTCCCCTACCTCTATTTTCCCTCCTATATATGATACTCTATTATTTAATATATTCGATTTGTATCAGTTATAATGTTATTAAAGTGCACTTTAATAAGTATAAAGTGATCTGCAGTCTAGTTTAATGACTTTTGCCTGGACTTCTTTATACGTGGGTAATTATATGAGTTTGCCTGCTTATCTGCGTCTTTTATCTTTCCATGCTCCTTCTGTCTGTCCCTTCCCTTGTTTTCCTCCCCTTCTCTCACCTTCTGGCATTGTCCTGATGCAGCAGTAACCAGTTTACTGCAGTCTAGGAGATGACAGGACAGTAATCATGAGTAACTTTATTTCTCTTCGATCACTGCCTTCTAACGTGTCTGTATATTTCTCCTCCCTAGTCCCTGAGGCCATCTTGCACTGATAGGTCTATTCCAGCCTGATGCAAATACTAATCTCTCTTTCCTTTAACAGCCCCTGCCCTCAGCTCTGGAAATGGATGAGACAGACAGAGTCTGTTTGCTTGGTCTCTAATTCTCCCATTTACCTCTTCCATTTGTAGCTCTTCTGTAGTGAGTGCCTGCATGTAGGAGAAGCAATAAGAGAATGATGTAAAAATCTCTTAACACTTTTTAAAAAAGACATATTGATCCTGTATTATAGCAGTCTCTTGATTAACTTCATCCAGCCTTAAATACTTTCTGTGTAATAAGACGCTGTATTAGGGTTCTCCAAAGAACTAGAACCCATAGTGTAAGTGCATGGAGAGAGAGGGAGGGGGAGAGAGAAAGGGGGAGGAGGGAGGGAGGGAGGGAGAGAGAGAGGGGAAGATGAGGAGAGGGGGAGAAGGGGAGAGGGGGAGAGAGAAATTGGTTCTTGTGATTGTGGAAGCTGGAAAGTCCAAGTCTACACTTTGCTGCAGGGCAGGCCAGCAGGGTGGGGAGCCAGGGAGAGCTGATACTGACTGCATTGAGCCAGAAGGCAGCTGCCTGCAGGATTTCTCTTTCTTGGAGGAGTTCAGGATTTTTTTCTCTCTCTGTCTTATGGCTTCAGTCAATTCGACAAGAGGCTCCTGTATTCCAGAGAGCAATTTTCTTTACTGAAAGTATATTGGTTTAAGTGCTAATCTCATCTAAAAATATCTTCACAGAAGCATCAAGAATAACATTTGGCCAAATACCTGGGCACCCGTGGCTCCTCCAAATAAACATATGAAATTGACCATTACAGAACCACTGCACAACTCCAGTGTCAGCTCATTATCCACCTCCCCAACTATACTTCTCTCTGTTTAGTTTCCTTATTCCAGCAAGCTGTGCTTTTTGGAGGAGTATCTCCGAGAAAGCATAAGCCTTTGTATCTTGCGCTGTGTCAGAAATCTGTCTAGTATGAACCAGGTGCTGTGCTGGTTATTAAGACCACACTTCTCAGGTCTAGATACATCTTCTCAACTCTGTTTGCTATACTGTATCTGGGCTGCTCTGGGATGCATTCTTCATTCCTCCTTTGTGGACTGGGCACATGGTAGGCCCCAGAGGGAGATGAAAATGCAAGATTGAGGAAACCTCTGTCTTCCTTGCTGTTCCCTTCAACACTGCACCTTGTTCTTGCTTCCTGCTTATCTGGCACTCTGAGAACTCAAAACTGTGGGTGGTGCCCTTCCTTCCAGGTCTGAGCCAGGTCCACAGACTCCTCTGAAATTCTAGTGTCTGGTCATAGTAACTTTTCCCCTTTACTGCTCAGCCCTAGGCTTGGAATTATTTCCAGCAATTACTATCTCTAGGATATCTCAGTAGTGCCTTATTGTGCATTATGTCCACCAGCTCTAGTGTTGAAGTGGCCTGTGCAGTTTCTTTCTCCTCATCATATCCTGAGTGATGCAGGTGTGCTATACACAGTTTGGATCCACATGTCTCCCCCATAGCCCGTGTGTTCAAGTCTTACTTCCTGGAGTGGTGTTATTGGTGGTGAT